TTCTGCGAACAGGATGCTGAACTGAAATACTTTTTTGCTTATTGTTTTGTTTTGTTTTTTGTTTGTTTGTTTGTTTTTGTCTGTTTATTTTTTGAGGACCTGAGACGTGGGAAATGTTTAGTTTCCTGGGGATAAATGTTATTTGTGATTTTAATCGCACTTGCCATCTCTTATCACTGCTCTGCTCTGCTCTGCTCTGCTCTCACCATCTCACCATCTCATCATCAAAATCGACTTCGACTCAATCGTAGATAATAATATTTTAGTGATCAGGTGATTCGTTGACGACAAACGTAGTAAAAATAAAAGAACACACATCATACACGATATTTTAAAAATCTAAACTATTATAACTAGTGCATTAATATCATCCTTGTGTACTGAGCAGGCTATGGAATAATTATAAAAGTGAACATACAAATCATCAAGTAAACAATAGTTTTGCTCAATTTATTCACTATAAGTTCTAATACCTCACAGGTCTGTTTGGAGACACATATGTCTAACGTTTCAACATGCTGTGTACGTAGTTTACGTGGATGGAGTTGCAAACARGACGGTATAYRCTRATCRTAGGAGMTTAACAGGTTATTAAAGCAAACTGGACTTTTAGATATCTTTAATACGGTATTTTTTCTGATAGATATTATAAGTTTCCCCGGAAGGGTACCATTTCAATAAATTCTGGATCAACACTTTGACTACGTGGCTTTGATCTACGCTTTTGGCCTATAGGTTTATGACTTGGTGCTTCTACAGGGATGAGGATGCGATTTGACACTCAATTGAAACTCGCTACTATCACACTTGTTAGGTTTGGTTATTGTTTACTGACGGTGCTTTTTGTTTATTTTTTTAATATTTTAGCTGCAGCGTTTCATGTTTCGTTCACTTCATCTGAAGCAATTCATCTGAAAGTAACTGGTCTTAACGTGTGGGACAAGTTTCTCGACGAGCACAGAATTCTGTACATGTCTTACAATTGCATGAACTACAGAGGAAACATGGTTTTCTGGGAAGATTATGCTAGAAATGCGTCCCTTGTTATCAGCTCAAATACTCCAGTAATTTACTATAACAGAACATCTTGCATTGGCAAAAAAGGTAATTTTTTATGGTCTTTTTCGGTCTAATTTTGGTATCTATCTTTTGGCGTTTCCGGCCATTTGCCCATTTTCTGTGAGATGAGTCAATGTCGTTGAGTAAAGAAAGCACCTCGATCACAGAATGCTTATGTATTCCCTGGCAACTCGATTACTTAGAAAAAAATATTCAGCACTCTAGGCCTGCAATGAAGTGTGATTAATAAATCAATTTTTCTTTCCTTTCCTTTTTTTGACATTTCTTATATAAGGTGTTTCATATAAATGTGCTATACAAGGCTAACTGTTTTTTTTTTTCATTAGTGTATCATTAACATATTTCCTTCCAACAAGCTTGTAAGCGGCATTTCTTTTACAGATGTATTAT